CTGTACATGAGATCCCCAGGAGGTATCCATCTCATAACTGGAAATTTGTGCCTTCGACAAACGTCTCCCATTTCCCCCATCCCACAGGTCCTGGAAACCACCATTTTACTTTGTTTAGATGAGTTCAACTGTTTTAGATCCTACCTGTAAATAATACTGTAGAGCATTTCTCTTTCCCTGCCTTTCTTATTTTACTTAGCACAATGCCCTCAATGTTCATCCATGCCTTCACTCTCCTCACTAAATAACATTCCTGTGTGTGTGTGTGTGTGTGTGTGTGTGTGTGTGTGTGTGATATTTGTTATCCAATCATCTGTTAATGGATGTTTAGGTTGTTTTATCTTGGCTTTTTGTAAATAATGTTATAGTGAACATGAAGGTGCCAGTACCTCTTTGAGATCCTATTTTCATTTTCTCTGGATATATACACAAAAGTGATATCCTTGGAAAAGATGGTAGTGTTATTTTTAATTCTTTGAGGAACCCCCACACAGTTTTTCACAGTAGCTGCACTAATTTACACCCCCAGTATTCCCTTTCCTTCACACCCTGACAATATTGGTTATCTCTTGCCTTTTTGAGGACAGTCATTCTAACAAGTGTGAGGAGGTAATCCTTTGAGTTTCATGTCTCTGATGATTGTTGATGTTGAGCACATTTTCGTGGACTTGTTGGACATTTGTATAACTTCTTTGGAAAATGTTGAGTTCCTCTGCCCGTTTTCAAGTCAGCTTGTTTGCTTTTTGTTACTGAGTTGTATGAATTCTTGTATATTTTGAATATTAACCCCTTATCAGGTGATTTGCAAATATTTTCTCTCATTCCACAGATTGCCTTTTCATTTTGTTGATGGTATCTTTTGCTGTGTGGAAGCGTCTTAGCTTGATCCCACTTGTTGATCTGCCAGATGCATTCCAGAGGGTTTATTTATCTTTGAAGCCACCATGTTACTTCTTCTTGTCCCCTCTGTGGTTTTATTTTGCCCTGTCCTTCCCCCGTAGCAGCATAAATTGACTCTTCTGATGTGCAGCCACATCGACTCTTCTGTATGCTTTGAGGGACCATGCCTGCTTCTACAAAGTACTTTCCTGCTTCCTTCCCTGGGATGCTCCTTCTTGTGATCTTTCCAGGTCTGCCTCCTCCAGTTCTCTGAGTTTGCAACTGTAAAGCCTTTTCTCAGAGAGAACTTTTCTGACACTACTTTCAAAGGCACTTGATTTCACTTTCCTCATAACACAAATCACCATCTGAAATTAATTATGTGAGTACTTCTTTATGGTTTCCTCAGTATCCCATAAACATAGACCCATTAAGTGTACATTCCATGAAAGAACCTTGTACAGTGTATCTTTTTTATTTATTTATTTTTATTTATTTTTTAATATATAATTTATTGTCAAATTGGTTTCCATACAACACCCAGTGCTCATCCCAACAGGTGCCCTCCTCAATGCCCATCGCCCACTTACCCCTCCCTCGCACTCCCCATCAGTTCTCAGTTTATTCTCAGTTTTTTTTTTATTTTTATTATTTTTTTTTTCAACGTTTATTTATTTTTGGGACAGAGAGAGACAGAGCATGAACGGGGGAGGGGCAGAGAGAGAGGGAGACACAGAATCGGAAACAGGCTCCAGGCTCTGAGCCATCAGCCCAGAGCCTGACGCGGGGCTCGAACTCATGGACCGCGAGATCGTGACCTGGCTGAAGTCGGAGGCTTAACCGACTGCGCCACCCAGGCGCCCCTATTCTCAGTTTTTAAGAGTCTCTTATGTTTTGGCTCCCTCCCTCTCTAACTTTTGTTTTGTTTTGTTTTGTTTTGTTTTGTTCCCTTCCCCTCCCCCATGGTCTTCTGTTAATGTGGGTGTATCCACGCAAAGAAAAACCCAACCTTGTTCTCCTTACACATTCAATCTCTTGTCAGTTGGCCTATTACAACCAAAAGCTGGAAAGCAGAGAGAAGTCTAGAAAAAGTATATAAAGTTGATCTAGAGCGACAAATGGAAGAGTGTTCACCATTATCCTGTTAAACTTGGTAATGGTGACTGAATGAAACATACATTTTAGTACAAACGGTGACTGAATCAGGTGTCCCATGTGTCAGTCTGCAGCACAGTCCTCAATTCACAGTATAGTTCATGTAAAGCCATATACTGGATTATCACATGTCATATTTAATGGTTCTTCACATAGAGTCTTGCATTATTTCATCTCAAAATGCTCTCAGAAGATTTAACCCATTTTTGCAAAGCAAGCTGAAATCCATTGAGATTAGGGGCTTACAGACAACATGAGCGTCTTTGCAGAGGATGAATATGTTCCTTGGCGGACTAGTGTCCTTTGATATATTATTTTAAGTTTATAACTCTTTCAACCATATATTTATATTCATATTGGCAGAAATAAAATCCCACTAGAAGAAGTTTTCTTCTTTTTGCATTTATTCTAATTCGTCTCAATTATGTATGCTGGAAAGTTCATCAGGTACAAGACATTTAAATCATACCAAAATTCAAGGTATATTTACCCCTCCATTCTTTTTTTTCCCTAATAAATAGGATTTACTTCAGAATTATAGCTAACTAATTAAATTTCATGGCATTATTGCTGTGGAATATTTATGGTATCCTGCAAAATGCATTTTTTAGGCTTCAGTTATTATCAGACAAGGCTGTAACTTTATATACAAATACTAAAAAATAAAGATGGACACATGAACTTAAACTTAAGAGTCAAAATAACAGAATGCAGCATTTCCGTTTGCTGGTTACATTCTACTATAGAAGCACTTAAGCTCAGTCCTTGGCAAGGTTCCTCCTTGCTCAAGATCATGGAATCCATTTTTGTCTGTTTGGCTTTGAATATTAGGCATTTGGTACATAATGGGTGGTCCATAAAAAAGAGTAGCTTCTTGGAAAGGAGACTATTTTTCACCAGGCTTTTACGATAGACCACAATGCTTTAAGATTCTCTTCTCACATTTGAAACTTGTCGTCTGCCTGATTTCCCAGATTCAACTCTGAAAAAATTCTACAAATGCCCTATTTTATTTCTCTGAGACAGTGGTTCTTAAATGGAAATGGTGGTGTGCTCATGGTCATCAGTGGTTTTCTTTGGAACTACATATGCGACCCTTTCCTCCCTCTAAATTCTAGCAGATGTCTTCCAGGTGAACGGCATTACAGTAAAGGAGGGCTAAGGAACAGAAAGGTCACCTGTCAGACCCAGGATGGAGCAGGAGGGCAGGGCAGTTTGATGTCTGGATGATAACTGTAACAAATCACCAGAAACAAACCAACCTAGTTTGCATGCATATGAATTAAACCCAGGCATTTATCTAGAAAATATAAGCATTATAAGGCAGGCAGAAGTCTTGTAACTGAAAGCATGTGCAACCAGGCCACTGAGATGGCAGAGATGAAGAATCCTAGTTAAGAGACTTGGAATTGAAACATCAAGAATCTGAGCTGAAGAGGGGAAATACAGATTGAAATAATAGAGTGTCAGTACTCATGCATGAATAAACAGCAGTAGCAAAAAAATGGAACTTGCTTGTTTTGCAACCATTTCCTGCCAAGGGTCAGAAAAAATCCTAGATGGTAGTTAAGTTTAAATTAGCAACAGAGCAAAGCATTTTGTAAGTCAATAGTGGCAAGAACAGATAAAATGTGGATGTATATTCAGTTTATGATTTGGATGCTAGACTTCGTTTTGGTGCTTGATATTATATTTGTTATTCATATATGCTACTTTATTTAAGAAACACCACTATCAAAGACACTTGGATTTAAGACAAATGCTCTGCAGTCTCTCCCAAAAACCATTGGCTATACGCTGGAATTTGGTATAAAATTTATTCATAATTTTACTTGCAACAAATCCAGAAGGTTTTAGTTATTTCACTATGAATAAATATAAATATAAATTAGTTCTATACTTGGATACAAGGGCAGAAAATGAGTAGGGTACGTAAATAGGCATATATACTGCATGATTCACAATTGTAAACTTAATTATTTATATATTCATTCATTCATTCATTCAGCCAGTCATTCAACTAGTCAGCTGTTTGACACATTCTTATTGAGCTCCTTCTAAATGGCAGAGACTGGAGTAACTCGTTGACAAGGGAGATAAGGTCCCTGCAGTGGCAAAGCTTAATGAGATCTAAGTGAAAAAAATCTGTGGCTGAAACAATTAAGAGGAATCCTGAGAGATGAAAAATAAATGGGAGGAGATACTTTGTGTGCTTAAAAAGTAAAGTAACAAATTTATTTTAGGAAATAAAGAGAAGAATGGAGAAGAAATTAGCTTTATTTAGAAACATCACACTTAGTGTAACCACTTAATTTTTTAAAAAATTTTTTTTCAACGTTTTTTATTTATTTTTTTGGGACAGAGAGAGACAGAGCACGAACGGGGGAGGGGCAGAGAGAGAGGGAGACACAGAATCGGAAACAGGCTCCAGGCTCTGAGCCATCAGCCAAGAGCCCGACGCGGGGCTCGAACTCACGGACCGCGAGATCATGACCTGGCTGAAGTCGGACGCGCAACCGACTGCGCCACCCAGGCGCCCCTAATTTTTTAATATATATATATATATATATATATATATATATGTATGTATATTTGTCTAAATTGTCTAACACTTTCATTCTCTTTTAAAGATAGAATCCTTCTAAGTAAATCATGTCTGTTTTGGTTGACTTAACGAATGATGACCATCTTTTAGAGCTGATACATTGTTCTTTAACCATATTCACAATGTTGTATACCATTTCATTAAATGGCTGTTACCATAATATATTTAATTATATTCTAAGCATTGAACATTTTCACTTTTGAGTGAAAAAGTGAGTGTTTCATTTTTTAAGAGATATGTAGATTTGTTGGCATGTCTTTACTCCTGAATCTAGATAAAATCATTTTCTTGTTGCGGACTATCATATCTCAGAAAACACAGTGTTTGTAATATTTATCTTTTATTATTGTTTTCCCTTAAGGTGTTATTAGAACAGCTTTGCCAAACATGGACAGGGAAGTCAAAGAACAATACCAAGTCCTCATCCAAGCCAAGGATATGGGTGGACAACTAGGAGGGTTAGCCGGAACGACGATAGTCAACATCACCCTCACTGATGTCAATGACAATCCACCTCGATTCCCCAAAAGTACGTTCTTTCTATTGAGTTTAAATTGGTGCAGTTTAAAAAACAATTCTCACATTTCATTGAATGTTGCAGAAATTATAATAATTTTTCAGACACTTTTCGTCTTTAGGAAATAGAAGCCAATAGATAAAAATTAAATGACTTAAGAGTTTCATTTTCCATTAGAATCATGCCCAGTACGACTTTAATATAAAATAATACAAGTCAGTAATTGAACAATGAGTCTTATGTTGTTAATTCTTGTTAAAGTAAAATATTCACGATAGGTTGGAATCTTGCTCTATTTTTTTTACCTGAAAAAGTAATATAAATATGAATATTCCATTTTAATTTAAGACTCGTATTTATGACAAATGTGACACCATATTATTTGCTCTATTATGCAATTTGCCTCAGAATTCTCTTCCTTCTCCTTACCTATTATATTTGAATCATTTCCATATGCTTTCATGTAAGTATCAGATGATATTCCAGTGATGCTATTTACATTACCTTAGTCTTATTTTAGTTTTGCAATAGGTGAAAATTGCTACAGTTTCTATGATAATAGAATGTTTCACACCTGTATTTTCTCTGCAACTCTGTGCTTCTTATTGAAAATGAATACTTCTCACTTGTGTTATATCTAGTTTTCTTCTACAGTATTACATTTAACACCAATCAGTACCTGTTCGATTTCTGGTGCATTTCCAAGGATTAGTTCAGTGTTCTTAAGACTTAGAATACAAAAACTGAAAGTCTCTGTCACTGGTTACACAAGGAACTTGATTAAATCCCTAGATACTCATTTGAGTGAACAGTTTATAAAACCAAAACAAAATGATTTTCCTCTTTCAATCCCAGTAGGAGAGTTTGAGTTCATCTACCAAAGTATAAAACACTGAGAATATTTAACTAAATGGATATTTTATTCCTTTAGCTGAATTCATTTTCATATTTTACTACTTTATCATTTTCTGTTAATATCATTAACATATATTTTCGTATGGAAATATTTCACTCAGTGCTCAGAAGGTCCAATGGCAAATGTCATGAGTGGCAATTAGAAGTCATCATACTTAAGCAAATGAAATGTCTGTGACAAATGGTGAGTATGTAATGTGCTATAATTAATAACACAGTCTTATGGCAACACTTTTCCTTACTTTGCTATTAAGGGAACCAGATAAAACATAAATATTAAAGAAGAAGAAAGAAATAGTGCATTTGATTCTCTAATATTTGACATTAATAAAGAATATATTCCCAACTTGAAAAGTACTGATTATTTTTATTTTTATTTCTTTTATTTCTTTATTTTTACTTCTGACATGTGACAAGCTGTAGTAGCTAAATGAGGGGGATAGTTTGGGAGACTACTCTACTTTTATATAAATGGCATCACTGTGAACGTGGGCCCTTCCTGTTTTGTGTTTTGTGCATTTAAAATATGTTCCTTCTAGCGAATAGGAAGTAGCAAAGATATTCTTAGGTAGCACCAATATTCTCATTCATGAGGATTATAATGATGCTCTTCAGATGAAGGATATAAAACCCAGCCAGTGGAGGATACAATTTCTGCTGGTATGGATGAAGGGTGATTTGTAAAAAAATTGGGCAGGAATCCAGAAAAATAGGCTGGGGTACAGGGAAATAAAAATATCTCCATGAAAAAGAGGCTAGATTATACTTAGGAAGCCAAGATAGTGTGCTCAGGTCCTGCTGAAACAGGACGATCACTTCTAGAACTTACCCAGTGAAAAGAGAACCTGGATAAAGCAATATGTTTGCTTGGGATTTATTCAAAGTTGAATATGTAGGTCTGAAGACAACCAGCAAGGAATGTGGGGGATAAGTCCACTAGAATTTCCAGAATATTTGTATGTCATCTCAGGAACTTTATCTTATTCCCTATTCACAACAACAGTTCTGTATTTTCCACATTGACTGTTAAAAACAACAACTGAGGTGTAGGAAGGTTAAATAACTTGCTTGAGATCAGCAATTTAAGTAGAGATTTTTTTCTCAGAAGTTCAGACTCCTTCTAGTTTAACATAATGTTAAAATGAAAAGTTATTCTTTTCTTTTATATGCCCTCTAAAACCATACTTTTTAAAACACTTGCAAAAAAGTCACATGACATATGTTGAATTGTCACCATTCCTGCACAGAGAAACAAGAGGGCAAAAGAAATATACTGAACAGGTCACCATGATAAAATTATTTTCTACTTGTATTACATGCATTTTTGAACTATAGTCTCAAAGTATAATGGGTGAGAGATATTTTTGAATCATGAGAAAGAAAAGGGTTTTCAGATTTTGCATGAATAAGAAATTAATCCCCTTGAAATTTTACATGTCATTGTGTCAAGCCCCTTTTACTGTATTGTCATTTCGAATTACATCCTTGAGAGGAAAAGACAGAATACAGGTCTAAACAGAAAAGCCATTTATTTAGAAGTCAATGCTCTTTTTGCAAGAATATTTCTCATGTGCAGCAATTAAGCTGCAAGTGTGACATAACATTACAAACTGAAATGATAATCTTTTCAACCTTAAGAGTAAAAAATATATATATATATTCTATACATAAATAACTTAAAAGAAAATCCCCACAACTAGCTGCATTTATTCATGCCTGATAAGCAATTATTCTGAAAAAAAAAAAAAGAACAACAACTTCATTCAGATGAATTTCATGAGCTACAATTTCTCATTGTTTAAAAATTTCAGAAGATAATTTCTTAAAATTAATCATAATTTGTTTGGGCTTTGTGTGTGTACGTATGCATATGTGACACTGTTAAGTACCCATTTCCATTCATTTCCTTCTCTAAATCTGTTAGAGGTGAAAAAAAAAGATGGAATGACACACGCATTTGTATCATGCATGTGTAAGCAGTTTGCTGTTTTATTGTTGAAAAATACATGGTTCCTGAGATATCAGAACTTCCTGCCAATATGATATGATGATGATGACAATGATATTGACTAGTAAATTAGTGTGTGTCATGTACTGTGCACAGTGATTTGCATATATATTCCCTTCTTACTTTTATAATGACTTTATAGTATTTTCTCAATTTTAGAAATAAAGTAGCAAGGCACATTATTAAGAAAAGTTGCTATAAGTTAAGTTTTTAAAAGTTATAAACTTGTTCAAGATTATGCAGCCACTAGGTGAGAGAACCAAAACTTCATCTTACGTAGTGACTTCAGGTCTCTCGTTTACAATCTCCCTCTTGAAAGACAATTTGCCTTTGATACCTGTGTGTGATTTAAAATGTCCTATAGATAACCTAGAAAACTATCCAAAACAAATATGGAAATGGAAATCATACCTGACATGTTAAAAGAGCTGTACCTGTAGTCGTATAAAGACAAAATATTTTCTTTGCAAAATCGTTTCCATATACTTATAAAACTACCATCTACCATAACCAAGAATATCTGCAAAAGATCTGTATCTGTTAAAATAATCTACAGGAAAATGCTGATGGTTTCCATTACTTGAATTTTAAATGACAAAACCATCTAACAAGCTGATCTAAATAATACATTATGAGATCAAATCAATTAAGTGATGTGGTTAATTCACATTAGGCAAAATATTCATGCTTCTCCCACTTGGTCTCTTTCTTCTGTATCATAATTTTGTAATGAATGTGAGATCAACCTTAGTGAAATAAAGCAGTCCATACAGAACATTGGATGAAAGAGATACTTCATTTATAGGAAATGTAAAGAGGTATTTTCTTCTTCTTTCTTTTGAGTAAGAGAACTCTGTGTAAGGTAAATAAGTTCAAATGTAGAAAATAGGACATTAATAATTGTTCTAAGAAAAATTCTTAAAAGTAGGTAAAACTATTTTAAAGAAATTCTATTTTAATAAGATACCTACCAAACATGTTTATATTGACTGTTGATAGCTATAAGTATTTTGATTTGGATAATAGTCAATAAAACATTATTTGAATAATAATTACTATATAAAATATATAGTTGTATCCATATATATAGTTAGTTAATTTAATGAATAAGATATTTGCAAATACTAGACTTCACCCAGGAAAAGTTGTTATTGTCCTCAAATTAACAAAAAACAATGTAAGTAAAATTAAAGTATTAAATACATCAGCCAAGATGTCTACTGCACAATGAATAATGTTTGATCTTGTTTACATGAACTATAAGACAATGACTACAGATCTATGGATAAAAAATATGTATATATATTTCTATTATACATTCATGATATAGAAAGGCTATAGACTGCCAAGGTCAGTTATGAGTTATTAAAAAAAACAAATGCTGATAACTATACATTTATTTAGTTTAAAATACTTATGTTCAGTTAAAATACATTTCATCTTTTCATCCTGTTATTACTTTTCTGGCATCCAAATTAAGACTGTTTCTTTTATTATTTTGAAATGTATAAGATTGTTTATTGTTAAATACATGTTTGTTACAATATGTAATTTATAAAGATTTTCATTAGAATCAACATAAACCCAATTATAACCAGTTGGGGGAACAAAATCTATTTCTCTTTACCATTTAGCATCCTTAACTTGGAAAACTGTAAGCTTCTAGAGTGAAATTTTCTTGTTAAAAATTTAATAAGCCTTTAAAAATAAAGGGCTAAAAGCTAATTGAATTTTGACAGTTAACTCAGATCCAGCCATAGAAAATATACCTTTACATTCTTCCAGGTTTCCAAGGGGATTGTCATGGGGCTGAATGAGGTAAATCAAACATACAAATTCTATGATTTAAGTTTATTTATGCAAATAATATACAATCTGAAAGTATACATGTATACAATATGACAGTTCATGTCTTTGTGTATATTTTGTAGACATCAATTTTTATAGAACTATCTAAATCAGATAGGTAGATAGAAAGATAGGTAGATAGAAAGATAGATAGATGATAGACAGATAGATAGATAGATAGATAGATAGATAGAATCTCAGAATCATTAAGTAACACCACAGAGAAAATATTTCCTGGCCT